GAGTCGAACACGAACACACTTTTTGAGCTCGAAATATAAACGAACCGAACACGAGCTGAGTCTGGGCTCGCTCGTATTTGACTCATCTACACTCCTATGTAAAACCATGGTCTTGCTCAAAACCATGGTCAAGTCAAAACAGGGAGAAGGGCTACTTAGTGAATTTGCAGAGCATTCAGTGGGTCTGAGATCCTGAGTTCGCAAAGTCCCCTAAAGGTGTCCAACAGCTCTTACAATAATTTACAGATATCTTTCAGCAGCTCAGTGAGTTACCACCCCTAAGGGAGCACGAGCATGTCATTATATTAAAGAAAAGTGCACCCTAATGGTGTCAAACCATACTAATATCCTCAGATTCAGAAGGAAGAAATAGAGAATTTGATCTGAGAGATGCTCGATGCTGGAATTATCGGACTCAGTGTGAACTCCTCCAATCCATTCTCGTTGATGAAGAAAAAAATGGTAGTTGGGGTTTCTATGTGGACTACTGGCTTTGAACAAGATAAGCTTTATGAGACAGATATTTTTTCTTGAAAATTGATCTTAAGTCAGGGGGCCACCAGATCAGAATGAATCAGTTTCGCGCGAAACTTTACATAACAAAACTTTACCACGTTCATAAATGAAGCCTCAAGCTCTAGAGCTCAATGTTGATATCCCTGGTATGCCCTTATTGCATCAAAATATGTATCTAAGTATATTTTTTTTTTCCTTCAGCAAGATATAATTGAGCATCACAACCATTCATAGAGGTGAATTGTTCATATTAAAAAATACTGTACAAAAACAGAAAAAACTTTCCAAAACCAAACATATTAATTTTTTTTTTCCTTCAGCCAGATATAATTGAGCATCACAACCATTCATAGAGGTGAATTGTTCATATTAAAAAATACTGTACAAAAACAGAAAAAACTTTCCAAAACCAAACATATTAACATGATTTTTTCAAGTGATTTTGCAATCATGCACTGCAGACAAGATGATGCTAGTAGCACTATAACTATCCCAATAAAGAAAAATTCAAATCAAAAACAAAATGTAGATGCAGGTAAAATTTTGTTCCGCGGTATAGAAATATGATTAGGACATCCCTACCAGTTGATTAAATAAAATGCATACATCCAATCTTCTAAAAAATTAAATCAAGTTAAAACCGAAACCTGTGAAAGAGTAATATTGCATATAATAGCAGTATTTGCATTCCCACCAAGAGCAGGTTGCAAAATGCGAGTAAGCTTGCTGTCACGGTAAGGTACATGGCCGCTGCATCAGAATCTTCCATAAGAAAAAATTTACAAAGTTATTTTCAGCGATAAAAAAACTTAATACTCTAACTCACCCTTGGCTTTCAACGCCATCACTTAATTTTTTTATGACAGTGCCAAGGGTTAATAAGCTTTTATTAATATGGGAGCCCTCTTTCAGCCGCATTCCTTCTGCACCTGTCTTAACAGCACGTTCAGATCCAGCCAAATCCACCAAGTTCTAGCCAAGGAACATTAACAATAACAACAAAAAATAAATAAATTAATAAAATAATTAAGAAGAAAAGATCATATAATTCCAGGAAAACATGAAGAAGTATGATACAAACACCACCAACTCTGTAATCAAATACCAGAGCAGATACACGCACAGCATCATAAAAATTAGCTGAATCATCCTCCTTGCTTCTCTCCCTGCTTTCAACAATCTGTAATTATATAAATTCAGAGAGATAGAATAACCAAAATAACCAAAATAAGCCAGAAGACCCCATGAATTACACACCATGCGAAAAATTGTATGAGACCTGCTGCTATAAAGGTTCATATTTGTCTCCCCAATGTGGCGATGAGCTGCATGATTTAACTAAGAGTTTTCAAGCCATAAAGTTTCAATGTGTCTATAATGAATAAAAGGGCAAATGGGAGTTTCAAGCCATATACATTCACCAAATTCCACCAGTTCAAGGACTTGTTCAGGTGAGGTAACGATCTCCTCTTTCAAACCAGCAACATATATGCCTCTCTTTATTGATGATTAATGTAGAATTAGTACATGAGAAAAAAAAACATAATTTCGAGTTGTAACAAATCATAACAAAAGCTCAAAATATACCTCAAGCGATTCATGAATTTGCAGCTTCCGATGTTCAGGGGCCAACAAATCATTGATCTCCTCATTATATATCTCCATGTAAGACATTCTAACAAGAAATTCTCTATCCATTTCCTAGTGACAAAAAAAAGTACTAAAGATCATATCATAAATTTCAATTCAATTAATCGTATCAAAATCATCATTAGCCTTTTCCAAAAGTTAGAATTTGGATGCATAAATCCTCCTTTTTTTTCATTCAGTTTTAATATTCCTGATGAGCTATTGCAATTATTCAAAATCTTTTTCCAAAGATAATGTTCAATAATTATATTACTATAAAAAGAATTTCATTACTGCATAGTAAAAAAAGATTTCTTAAACAATAAGAACATTTATTCAAGGCAAGACCACCACTCATAAGCCAATCAAAAGCCAAATCAGGCCAAATTTCATATACTTGATCTAATTTTTCCATTTAGATCGACTGTAATAAGAATAATAATGATACTATCCTTATTTAATGTAATAAGGAGAAGAATCTCGTTATTATCTTTTTTTTACAAATAGGGCAATTTCTGTGAATTTTAAGACTATAATTGAAGAATAGATTAATGAAGAGAACAATTATTAGTGTCCACCCTTTGACCGAAGTTACATATAAGGATCATTCCAAGCTGTATATCAGAGCAATTTTCCTTCAACATCACTTTCACGTCTTCCTCTCAAAGCTTTCATAAACCTTTGTGTTGTCTCATTCCTTCCTCAGATGGTATTAGAACTTCATTCATTCATTCATCATCATCATCACTCATCAATCAACATTGGAAGTTCAAAATTCTTCATATCTTTCTTTGAACTTCACAACAAATACATATGCTAAATCATTGTGTTAGTTAAAATTAGCGATCTTAAATTTCACCAATTATAATACCCTATTTCATCAAAAAGAAAAATTCGAAAATAATTTGAAGGGACAAAACAAAAACAAAGAAAATTTAAGAAATATACATAAAAAAGCCAAATAATCTTGACTCATCTAAAGAGCAATTCTTTGAAGATCAAGTAAATTGACACTATAAAATAACAATTGGAAGAACAAATTGAAAATTTAGCCCAAATATTACCAATTTCTCATGCAAACTACAACTAGTTAATGCTAGCGTGTACTCTGAAAACTCGCGCCAAACTACATAAATCCAAGTGATTCCATAATAACTTTTCAATAGACGGGTTGAATCTAACATAAAAACCTACCCAGAGATCCCGCTTAAAACAAGACATTTTTGAGCCAGTTCAGGGTTAGGCACAAACAGTTAAGAATAAATGGCATTGATGGAAGTGATAGAACTGCCCCGGCATGCCTAATCTATCGTTACAAAATTTTATAATTTTAAAGACAAAATGATCATGCAATGACATTTCACAAATTTAAAACACATCAGATTGCATGCAAATCAAGAAAATAAATTATTAAAATATGTAACCCTCAAAGACATCATGCAAAGCACCGATCTACCTCTTACAATTACTACATTCTAAAGAAATGCACGTATGTAAACATTTAGATGTATAACAATAGGGATCACATACATCAACCAATATGTAAAAGAGCACGGGGCAAAGCATGAAGTAAATGGATGGAGATCATTTACATTCAACATGGCAAAAGGGATGTATGGACACTGAGCCAATTCAACGAACAAAGAAATTACAAAATTCAATATTAAAGTTTCCTCATCGCATCAAAAAATATATATGAGCATGTGTGGAAATGAAGGGTGCATCATACACCTTTTTAATGCAATGTGGCATGATAGCAAATGATGCTGGGCTGCTTCAGCCCGTCAAGCCGGGCGCAACAAGAAGTCGGTCCAGCTTAGATGTTGGACAGGACTGGTCCATTCCTTTATCACGCTCACCCTCCTCTTTCCGTGTTTGATTCGCTTCGCTTCCCCCCATGTCCTATTCTTCCGCGTCTCTCCTACTCGTTGCAATCATATCTTCAATCCCTTCCTTTCTTCCCCTCCTTCCTTCATACGATCTTATCTTGGTTGTCTACCTTCTTGTTTATTAAAGCATCTTCTTTTCTTAAGTCTAAGGATTTATCTTTGTTGTTAATTTTTCTAATCCAGGTGATCTTCCTAGCGTGTCCTTCAGCGAATTGGTTGTATCCTTCAGCAAATTGGTGCTTTGATTGTATCTCACCAAGTTGGTTTATATCCCCACTCCGTTCAATCCACTCAGCATCTCCCTTCGTCATTGACGCCCTCCCAGCAACTCCAACAGACTGTCCGACCTCCCGTCAAACTTCCTCCAGCAATACCAACGAGTCACACCTCCCTCCCAAGCTGTTGCACCACCCTCTACGCCACTTCCTTCCTCTGTCAAGCTTCCCATCCTCCCTCGCCTCCCAGCCTTCCCCCAGCAAGCTACCGCTCCCGCCAACCTTTACCCAGCAAGCTGCCACGCCTTCCAGTTTTCTCCAGCAGGCTGCCCAACCTATAAGACCCTCCAACACCCCCTACCTCCGATGACCATCCATAACCTGCTCTCTGTCACACCCGGGTGCCAAAGATTCATCTGGCGTCAGTGTAGTCATCGCCGACCACTTTGAAGGCCCTTCCGGAGGACCATCAGCCACCTCTCGGCACCTTCCAGGGTTGTTTTGTGATTCGGCTTAGTCTATTTTCTGCAATCGCTATTTTATTCATTGTTTATGTGTTGTTACCTTACTTTTTTTTTATTATTTACATTTACATACCAGAGTTTGAAGGAAACATAAATCCCGGCAACTTCATCAACAGGTTGCAAGCGGTTGAACGCATCTTCAAAAACAAGGAAGTCCCCGAGGAAAAACGAGTTAAACTCGCAACTATTAAACTGAAGAAAAAGTCCTCACTATGGTGGGGAAATTTGTAGCGACAACACAATCGGAAGAGACAAAATTACCCAGTGGGCAAAAATGAAGAAAACAATGTAGAAGAAGTACCTGTCACCCCACTATTGTCAGGATATGTTCACCAACTTCACAACCTATAATAACGATAACTTTAGGTCGAGAAATTCACAGCAAAGTTCAACCAATTACAAATGAAGTGTTAGTTTGTCGAGTAAGAGGAGCACACGATTGCCCACTATTTTAGAGGCTTAAAACCTGCCATTAGCAACGTCGTTGAACTACAGTCCTACTAGCCGCTGAGTGATATCCAGACCCTAGCATTAAAGGTAGAACGACACCAAAGGCAGGCTAGGTCCCAGTCATCCTTTCGATAATAACCGACATTCAAGCAATCCCCCATAGCAAAGCCTACCAACGGGACCACTTCTGGAGCTAGCAAAATAACACCGGGAAACGAGAAAAACCACTCCAAATGACACGAACCTAGAAAAGGGTAGTTCAGGCGAGATTGTTCCCGCACGAAAATGTTTAAGGTGTCACGGTTAGGGTCGCATCGTCGCCAACTATCCCACAACCTTCACTGAAGACGGCGTTGTTGACCTCAATTTTCGTGAGGTCTAGTCTTCCGCTTAAGGTTTAGGATCTAGCCTTAGGAATCTCCCTTCGACTATCTTAGAACCTTAGAAATGGGACCCGCCGCGTTTTAGAAATTCAACCCACTTCTGTACTCTTTCGTGGTTTCGCGTGTGTGGTATCAACTTCTAGCACTTAGAAGGATGAAACCAACATGAGGAA